GCGGTTCAGGATCCAATCGCACCGGTTCAGCTCTGCACTCATCTCTCTTCCCCTCCCACGAAGACGAAGAAGAAGAAGGGTAATGGCGGGACTTCTTGCATGGGCTGCCGACGTTGTCGGCGGACATGGAAGAAGGACAACGACGAGAAAGATCGGATCCCTCTGATTTTTATTACGAAATACGCGGAGGAGCTTGACCGGAAAGCCGCCGCTCTCAGCCGTTCGATCCGAGATCTACGTCTAAAATTGCTTCCTCCGGTCTTCTCTCTGCATCTCCATCACCTCCTCGCTCACTCGCTCGCCTCCGGTTCCGCTCTCGCTGTTCAGCTCAACTCTCATTCCACTACTCGTGAACAGGTTTTTCCGGTTAGGCTTTGTCTGTTGATTTCTGGAATTTCTTCTTTCTGACTTCATTTGATTGTAGTTTCCAGGATTCGGATCTTGGTTTCGGATTAGTTCACTAGATTAGTTACGGCAAGGAACAGATTCGCCAGAACGAATTCAGATAAAGGGTATGTATCAGATCATGAAGTCGGTGTTCATTCCAACCTTCCATATTCCTCTGCTCCCAGAAATGACACCCAAACAAGGCTTCTGTATCTCAGGTCAGCTTTCGTGGTCTTCATCAAGATTTCCTTTTGAAAATAGAGTATACCTGAGTGCGTGTCAAATTGAGTTCATCTTTGTTCATTTGGTTGCAAGAGGAATTACTATATATATACAATTGATAGGAATAAGACGATTGCTTTCAATAGTTCTTTCCACTCTCAGATATGAAAAACATCAAAAACCAATTACTGGAACTACTACAAGATCTTACTCTGCAACTTATTGCTTCCAATAGTGTAATAACTGGCAGGACAGAAAACAGAAATCTGATGCTACATTGCATCAGAGTTCATTATCACCATAACCCAGCTAGAGCTTTTTGCCTTTCCCATCATTTCCTTTTCACTTCTCTGTCTTCATCATTCGTAGCAAGAAGTCATTCCAAGTGTCGATTGGTCCGGGCAAACACCAATGCACACAGTCCTTGAACAAGGTCACTTGTGCATTCGGCGGATGGCCGTATTTTCCAGGATGCCCATCCGGCCGCAATAGCATTGCCTGTGTTGTGTCTATTAACCTTAGTCTCAAACCCTTCTTCACCGCTTCTTCTTCTGCAGCCCTAAATTCCTCGAGCTGAATGTTGTGAAACTCGAGATTTTCATCCCTGAATACTGTCTCATTCCTTCTGTAAGGCCGTGTCCTTATGCAGTCTCCTCCTTTGTTCCAGGGTCCACCCTCGAAATGATGAGGGGAAAAAGTCCTAAAAAATGCCACACCCGCAAAATTATCAAGAATGGCTTTGAGTACCGTCCTCAAAGCCTTCCTGTAACCGTAGTCCAACGGCAATACAGTTACGTTGGCTAATCCACAATAGTGGCACCCGACAAGTTGTCGGTTTTCATAGAAAATAACTGGTCGGAAAAACCAGTGGCCGGAAGAGATAATAAGGTAGTCGAGCTGACCAATCTCAGCCATCCATATTGGATCGAACTCATCAATGTATAGGTTGAAGAGACCGGTTTTGTCAGGTCCTGAAGGGTCAGCTTCAGTGGAACTAACTAGGAAAGGTGACCATAGGGCATGAACAGTGAAGTTATAGGATGGGTACTTCCATGTCCTGAAATCTGTATCTGCAGTAGGAGAAATATCTTGAGGATATTCTACCTGCAAGAAACAGAATATCAGAAAGGGAGATCCATTACGATGTTAGATGGAAGTCAGAGGTCTGAGGATTAGGGTTTTACCCGAGAGAGAAGACATAACAGAGATTGAACTTGGTTCCGGCTAATGGAATCCCCGACAAAAGCCATTGCCTTTCCACTAACAATCTGCAAGAACTCAATAGGATTGAAGACAGGGAGTTCACAGCCATCTGGCTTCCACCTCCATTTCATAAACTCGGTATCGGGCCTCCCATACTTGATGCAGTTCTGATGCTCGTGTATCGCCCAGCATGTTGTGTTGGTGTAGTACGGTGCTTCTGGGTTCGAAACCCATTCCCCCGAGAAATAATCACACTTTTCCTCATCAACCGAGGAGGAGGAATTATCAGATGGACCTTGTGAAGGAGATGGATCATGTGAAGCATCGGGAGAAGAAGAAGAAGAAGAACCGTCGGAGGGAGGAGGAAGAGATAATAAGAAAGGATTGGACGTGATTACGAAAGGGAAGATTGAGTAGCCGCCGAGGAGAGAATACAAAGCTGGCGTTACGGTGAGGAGAATCAGGACAGATGCTACAACTATGGCTGGTTTTGATGCCTTTTGAAGGACTGCGGATACAGGAAGAAACTCCATGTTTTGGTCCAAGAACAATGTATATATGCATATATATATATGGGGAGGTGAACATGACAACTTAGTGGTGATCCAATAACTAGGCAACGACAATGGAGCAATCTATTGACAACAACAATAAATTAAGATAGAAAGAATCAGGACAGCATTTTTCGATCACTGGATCGAGTCTTGAAACCTCGGCCCTCTCGTTTGAGCATGGCGAGCAAGAAATCGTTGAGGGTATCAATAGGGCCGGGCAAGCACCAGTGGACACAGTCATTGTACAACGAGACATTGGCTCCGGGTGGATGACCGTACCGGCTTGGGTGACCGTCCGGTCTCATCCACATGGCCTGAGTCATGTCTAATGCTCGGAATCTCATCCCTCTCTTCCTCGCCTCCTTCTCCGCCGCCTGAAACTCCTCCATCTGAATCATGTACAGTTCCATGCTCCTCTCGTCTAGATCCATCTCATTGCTTCTTCATCCGGAAAAAAACACGATTACCTTATTGCAGATACGATGAAAACGTAAATCAGATGAATCGAGTTCTGACCGGTTTTTACCTGTAGGGTTGCTTTCTCAGACAGTTCCCTCCTTCGTTCCACAACCCGCCTTCGAAATGCGACGGAGCAAAGCTCCTAAGATACATCACGCCCTTGAAGCTCTCCGAGTTCAATACCGCTCTAAACGCTGTCCTGAATGCTTTTCTGTAACCGTAAAACATCGTTAGATCCGTTAAGTTCGGTAACTGGCAGTAGTGACAACCTACAAGTGCCCTGTCCTCGAAGAAGATAGACGGTCGGTAGTGCCAGTGGCCGGAGGAGATGATGAGGTAGTCGAAATCTCCGATCTCGGCCGTCCATTTGTCGTCGGCCTCGTCGAGGTGTAAGTAGAAGAGACCGGAGTGGTGGGGTCGGGTGGGGTCGGGCTCGGTGGATCGGACCAAGTGTGGTGTCCAGAATGCTGCGATGGTGAAATCGTACGTCTCGTACTTCCATCGCTTGAAGTACTCGTCTGAATTGTCCGAGACGTCCACGGGATATTCCACCTGAAATTATTATATTCTTAAGTCTGAGTTTTATAAATATCATTTAATTTAATTTCAAGAAAGTTACTTTTCTTTTCTTTTTTTCTTTTGGTAAAATGGGTTTCATCGCAAGACATAAAATATTTAGAAAATCTATCAAAATCAGATCCAAAAGCTAAACGGGGGTCGTTTAGGCCCACATCACACTATTGGTCCTGTTTATGACATGAAGTGATTAATTAGTCGATTTAATCAAAAGTTAGTTAGGATGTTCGTGCATGTTCAATTCAGACATGATTTTTTGCTTTTAAGTTTTCAATTAGCTGTAATCATTGGACCACTCCTGTAATCATTAATTCCATGCCCTATTTTCGAGAAAAAAAATATATTTCTTCAATAATTATGGGAACCGGTGAACTAAACCCTTCATTCATCCTTACCACCCATTTGGTACCACGTGCCGAAGAATGTCCAAAGTTTGACAAATGTACAGATGCACGAACAACACCACTACTAGATTATATTATACGCAAAAAATTCATAACATATGGTTTTTTTTAGGTTAATTTAGAAAAGGGGCAAAAAGGGAAATTAATCGCGAATAAGCATACGGAATCAATGATGATTAATCTTAACTTGGGTCGTACACCTCAGACTAAAGTATGATTACATAGTTTCGGCTTCAAATTTAAGACGGTCTCTTGCATCTCATGACTTCCGATTCATTGGTTAAAGAAATACATTACTTAGAAGTCAAGATTAGTTATATGCTCTTCTTTCCTTTTTTTAAAAAAAATACATAATTATACCGGTAGGACCAAAAATAAAGATAATGAAATATCGAATTTATTTATACGGCTGAATCGTTGTGTGTGTAAGCTCATCAATCGAATTCACATTTTCTTATATATCTACCTATAGTTATCTCGAACTTGTAATAGAATTAATGTGAGCACCATATGACACAAATTTCATGGATTTTGAATCCAAGATAAGCTAGCTATACACATTACATACATATATATATATATATATATATATATCACGTATACATGCGTATGTCATGGAAGAAGAAGAAGAAGGCATATACCCGAGAGAGGAGGCAGATCAAGGACTGCATGTGGTTTCGGCTAACGGAGTCGCCGACAAACGCCATGGATTTTCCTCTCATAATCTCGAGAAACTGAAAAGGGTTAAAAACCGGCATCTCGCAGGCGTCGGGCTTCCACCTCCATTGTATGAAACCCGAGTCTGGTCGACCGAACTTCATGCAGTTTTGGTGCTCGTGGATCGCCCAGCACGTCGTGTTGGTGTAGTACGGAGTGTCGGGGTTCGGGACCCATTTCCCGGAGAATATGTCGCAGTTGCTCTCCTCGACAGCAGCTTCTGTTAGAAACGTGGGTCTGGTTTGATGATGAGAAGTGCTTGGAGCCGGAGGTTGCTTGGGGAAGAAGTTAGGGTTTGCTCTGAAAGGGTAGAGGAGGGGGATTATGGTGAAGAGGGCTATGGCCATGGTTACTACTATGGCTAGTTTTTGGGTGCTTGGTATTGTTCCAGAGTGAAGAAGCTCCATTGCAGAGAGAGAGAGAGAGAGAGAGAGAGATTGGGCAATTTGGTTAACGAATAAGGAAATCTAATTAAGAAGAGATCTGTATATATATACACAATTATGAGGGCTTGTATCATATACATGTAATGGGTTAGGGTTGTGTCTTCCTGCTTTTAGGACATAGCAATCAAACTGTAGTAATAATGAAGTATGTGGTATGATTATAATTTAATTTGATACATATATATATATATATATATATATTCAGATTATGCCGTACAAATCAAGACACTGTTGAATTTCCAAGGAACTGCATATGCACTTTGATGGAATTGGTGATTTTGTGACAAATGATATATTCGTTATGTATCATCATATCTCTTAGATTATTTTTGTGTAGTTTCCTGTTGAATTGCGAATTTAACAAAGGGATTGATCATCCACCAATTTGGACAGATCTAATCATAATTAGGACAAAATCTAATCTATTTATTGATTGTCTAATCACACTATTTGTTTTGTTTTCTTTGCAGATTTGGTTGTTGGCAGTGTGTGCCATAATTTATAGCTTTATTCGCTTTCAAATAATTTTGGGGAATTTGGATATTCAAACTATTTCTTCTACTCTTACATAGATAGAAGTGCCCTTTTGAAAATTTTCATATATACCTATTTTTAAATTCCTAAAATCAAAAATTTCACATATACCTCATATGAAAATCGAAATTCTAAAATTCCCTTAACTAATATACCTCTTTTAAAAGAAAACTTTAAACATGATAATTTCTGTTATGCCATTGGAGGATTTGTTATAGAGTGGTTCAACCATTTAACAAAACGATGCTGCAGGTTCTTTATGGCCATGTGAATCAACTAGACATTGAGTATACTTAATTCCATGGATTTCAATCTCTCTATCATTTCATATTTAAATTATCTAATCAGTATTTTAAAGGTATAAAGTCGGACGAAAAAGGTAAATTGTTGGATGTAACGAATAAAGCAAAGATTCTTTTGGGTTAGGGAGTGAACAGATTATACTATATACATATATATATATATATAACAGTTTATAATATATATACACACACACAAAGGACACGTCTCTGTTGTTTTACTTGGCTCAACACTTACTCTTAGGTAAGACCAATGTTATGTTTTATTATTATAATCAGACAAACTCTAAAAGCTAAAAAAAAAATCATTTTGAATTTGTTTTTTTTTTTAATTCTACTCGATGATGATGATGATGGGAAACCCTAACATGAAATAGATAACGTTAATTAGTCGGTGAGATGATTACTAAACAAGTTCTTTTATCGTTTATTGTAATCTAAATCAAGAATCAAACTTCGGTTCAAATTTTTATTTGGAAAAATACATTTATATATATAAAAAAATAATTCATAATACACGACTAAGCATGTCTATCTATATTTAGATAAAAATTTTAAAAAATAGCTAATAAAAGGGTAAAATAATAAAAAACAATAACTAATGATTGCAATCCAAATCACACTGGATCTCCTCCATAACCTTCCTCGCATTTGAAGCAATCTGCATCACAATCCTTCTCGTAAATAATAATCTCTCTGTACATAAAACTCCTCGCACCTCAATAACAGATTTTCTAATACATCTCCAGGTATTACATCTAATGGATCGTCGAAATTAATGTTTTAAAATGAGATTTTATTTATTTATTTTCTTTCTTTTTGGATTTTTATTGAAAAAACAAAAGGAAAGGATACACGTAGACAAACGATCACCCTCTCACTCCTACATCGGTTTTGCCTCCGAGCGATCGTAATGCTTCTTCTGCCACTCCGCAGAAAATTTCTGCAGCGTAATTTCTTATAAGAAATCCAAAGACCCTCTTCTCGGATTCGAAATTAGGTCGAAATTTTCCGCCTCAAGTGCGACGATGTTAAGGTCTCTGGTTCAGATACGGTCACGGGCGTCGCCAGTCGCAACAATCTCGTGAGTCTGTTTAGGTTTTTCAAACCGAAAAGCGCAGTAAAAGAATCGATCTTTATGTCTCATGGATTTTGATTTCAACTGGGTTTCGTTCAATTTGTTTTTTTTTTTGTTCTGCTTGATCGGTTTGTCCCAGAAATCGAGGGTTTTCTTTCTTTGTTTATTTTGTTTTGTAACATGTTCCTGTTCTTATGCTCTTGTCTTTGTATCAGTTCAATGAATAGGAGAGGAAACGAGAGGCTTTTGTCGTCGACTAGTTCTGATAACAGTAGTAGTGAACACTTAAAAGCCGAGAATGCAAAAAGCAACGGATCAAATACGGAGGACAGGGTAAACTTGGATGATGAACACTGCTTGTGAATCTTGTGCGACATTGTTGTGAACTGAAAGACACTGTTTTGTCTTTGATTCAGATATTGGTTCTTGGGGGAAATGGCTACGTGGGTTCGCACATATGCCAAGAAGCACTGAGACAAGGTTTGGTTGTGTCGAGCCTTAGCAGGTCTGGAAGATATTCTCTACACGAAAATGATTCCTGGGTTGAGAATGTAACTTGGCACCAAGGTCTGGATACAATCCATAATGCGTATGTTATCGAGTTTTTTCGTGTTAAAAGGGAAAAAAACTCATGGTCGATCTTGTTTGGCTTTCTTGGTTCAACCACAGGCGATCTGCTTTCACCGGATTCTCTGAAGCCTGCTCTAGATGGAGTTACATCTGTGGTAAGAAATCATTTCTTTTTTGGTTTCTGCATTTTCTTTGTAGATGTTCGTTCGTTTTTTCATCCCTTTTTTCGCCCGATGTTTTGGAGATTTCATGTGTTGGAGGGTTTGGCTCCAACTCGCATATGTTCAAAATCAATGGAACTGCAAACATCAATGCCGTTAAAGCTGCTGCAGAACAAGGTAACCCCTCGACCATTTTTTTTTTAAAAAATTTGGATGTAATGTGTTTCAGCAGTTCAGTTTCTTCTTATCTTCCCTGTGGTTTCCACGAAAACTGACAGAAGAGAGCTAATTGTTAAGGTGTGAAAAGATTTGTGTACATATCAGCTGCTGATTTCGGGATTATGAATTACCTGCTGAGAGGATATTACGAGGGAAAGGTATGTCTACTTCTTTGCTGAGCTATGTCTTCACTCACATTTGCTCGGCCGAGTCTTTCATTTCTTTCACGGTTTCCTTTCTACATTGCAGAGGGCAACTGAAGCTGAGATTTTGGATAAATTCTCCAACAGAGGTAATCTAACTCTCTTCAATTTGGCTCGTTCTACGTGAATATATCGATAATTCGATATAGCCAAGTATTAAAAGAGTTCCTATGTTTTGCAGGGATTATTCTCAGGCCAGGATTCATACATGGCACTCGTCAGGTCGGAAGAATTAAGCTGCCACTTAGCATAATCGGAGGTCCTCTAGAGATGGTAATAGATCGATCCCACGAGCCACTGATTTCTGATTCTGTCTTGTCATCGGACTGATCTGAGCTCGATGCTTAACTCGGTTGTCCGAAGAACAGTTGATCTGTTTTCTTGGAGTTTACAAGTTTCTGATGTCTGGAGGTTTCAAACTTTCCTGCCATTACAGGTTCTGAAGCATGCAAAGTTTTTGACAAAAGTTCCTCTTGTTGGACCTCTGCTCATACCTCCTGTCAAGGTTACTTCCGTCGCGAAAGTGGCCGTACATTCTGCAACGGCCGATCTTGACTTCCCCTCTGGTGTCATCGACGTTCATCAAATTCTTCACCTCGGGCAATGAAATGACAATTTGATATGTCAGTTGTTTCTTTTGATTCAATCTTGAGAATAGAACCATTGGAGGTTCTGATATGTAATAATAACAGTTGCTCGCACAGAAGATATTCCAACATCTGAATGAGAGATTTATCAACCAAGGCAAGACAGTTTCTTGAATCTGTTCCTTGAAAGAATGCGGAACTTGACTCAGATTTCCAAGAATCTGTCGGATACAGAACAATTTGTATAATGTAATTTGCACTCTGCATAGGCAGGAAGAGAAAAAAAAATCAAACAGGTTGGTTTGGTTTGGTTTGGTTTGGTTCGGTTTAACTGAGAGTTTGATAACCCAATGGCCCTTGTAAACCGGCTTGTCCCGGTTCATTCCTCCCAACCAAAGAAGGCATCCATGGAAACAGCTTACTGAGCTCCTTCCCTATTGTCTTCGACCTCACTTGCTTATCGTTGATCCCAAACTTAGCCCTCTCTATGGCTTCCATTATATCTTCCCTTGTCACTGTTTCCCCACCTGTAAAAACCAAACAAAGATATCATCTTTCCCTTCATTTTTACCCGAAAAAGACGACAGCTTTTTTTGCAGGAGACGTGACCCTCAAAAGACCGACCTCTACGAGCGGCGAGCAATGCGGATTCATTGACGATATTGGCGAGATCAGCACCCACGAAGCCAGGGGTTAGAGAAGCGACCAGATCGCATAGAAGATCCGTCTCTTCCTCGAGAGGGACATCTCTCAAATGGACAGCCAAGATTTTCCGACGACCTTCTTGGTCTGGTTCTCCGACCACTACCTTTCTGGAGAAGCGTCCCGGACGACAAAGAGCCGGGTCAAGTGCTTCCGGTCTATTTGTTGCCACAATGACTACGACCTTCGTGTCTGTCTCGAATCCATCCATCTCTGTAAGCAGCTGCAAAGGAAAAATACTTTCAGTGCCACCATAAGAAGATCATAAAGACTGATTCGATCGAGACAACATTAGATGTTTGAAAGACAGGTTCTTTTTACCTGGTTCAGTGTCTGGTCGCGTTCATCGTTGAAACTCCTACCACGTTTTCCTCCAACTGCGTCGAGCTCGTCGATGAATATGATGGAGGGTGCATTCTTCCTGGCCACGCTGAAAAGTTCCCTGATTCGTGCTGCTCCTCTTCCGACAAACATTTCCACGAATTCGCTCGCGGATACAGAAAAGAAAGGAACTCCGGCCTCTCCAGCCACTGCCCGAGCCAGTAGGGTTTTCCCAGTCCCGGGTGGACCAACCAAAAGTACTCCTCTGGGTAATCTTGCTCCTAATTTTCTGTAGTTTATACTTCCCTGGAGACACGAAACTATCTACAGACAAATGAAAAAAACACATCAAATTGATCAAGTTAGCCTCTCATATGTCCTAAAATGATGCCCTCAATCATATACAAGAGACATATACATGTACTGTCTTTTAGACATTTGAAAAAATCGTGCTTTACCTCCATGAGCTCTTCCTTTGCAGAATCAACGCCCTCGACATCATCGAATCCCACGGTAGGATTGTTAGACCGCCTCTTTCTTGCGGGGCTATTAGCCGCTGAGAGCTGACGGTAAAGAAGCCACATAAGAGGTGTCAGAGGAATCCACAGAGAAATTATCGTTATCAGAGTGTTTCTCATAGACATCAATGCAGATTGCGGAGCCGAACTGTAAGTAGTTCCCTTCTCCCTCATCAAACTGAGCAGAAATTTCTCGTCATGATCTACTTTTCTGGTCGAGTACTGCCACACAGGGGTCGAAGCCCGAGCCTTTGAAAACATTGTGAAGCCACCAGCCTTCAGAGGCATTCTACTTTGTAATCTATCATCTTTTGCATTAGCTTCAGCCACGTTTTCCACCGCAGCATCCGTTTCGATCACGGGTTTCTCCAAAGTTTGCAACTTTTCAGCGTCTTCGACGTTCTCCTCCGTGTTGTAGTATATTCTACGAGAGCCCTCTTCGAGCAAAACCTTTGAAACTGAACCGCCTTGGAGATTTGTGATGAAATCTGAGTAGGGAACAATGGCCGGAGATGGCACGGCTGTTAATCTCAAGAACGTATAACATAATCCGAAAACAAAGGCTACACATGTAGACAGTATCACTCTTCTGATATTCTTTCTCAAGAAAACCCTAAAATCATCCATTGATGCCCTGAAATCGAACTTCTTAAGCTTCATGCTCAGTAACCGTAATCTTGGCCGTAGCCTCAGTGATAATCTCCTCCTCATTCCCTTGTTTCTGCCATTTTCACCGGTACGGGAATCGTTATCTCCATAATCCCCATTCACCAGCGGCCTAATCTCGCTATTACACGAAAACCCATTTCGAGAATCACCATAAAATCTAAAACCTAATCTGGTTCCACCAATCTCCAGAGACCCACCAAGTTTCTTGCAACTACTACAGAGGAGATGCTTTGTTCTAGCGAGACAAACATTGTGAGAACTCCTCAAACACACCGTCCTACCAGATTTGTCAGGAGAACTTCCTGTCTTGAACAGAAACCGGCTATTGTTGCAGAGGACAGAGCAAGAAGCCATGTGGATTCGTCTGAAAACCGATTCATAAGTACCTCATCTAAGCAAAGAGAAAACGACGATCCGAGAAGACCCGCCAGGCGCAAGATCAACACGAACGAATGATAACCTCGAGGCCAGATTGGAGTGGAGAGGAAGAACAAATGTCAATTTTTGATATTCTGAGCCAAAAACCGATGAAGCAAACGATTCGCTTGTCAGTTGATCTCCCCGCTGTTTCGATGGTCTGGTCATGGATAAGGGTTTGCTCAAGTTTGGATTTTTCGCTCGCCCTTTTTTTTCATCCTGATCGTCTGTAAGCAGGATTTGTAAATCTTTTGAAAATGAAAATTACTGTCTGAAAAATTAGTATTGGGTACTGATTCGTTGTAATTAGATCTCTGAAAAAACTCTAATCTCTGTTTGAATTCTATAGATCAAACTTGGCATCACATAATCATCGAAGGTTATCCAAATAAAATAACATAACTATTTATATTCATAACCAAACAACATAACACCAAGAATTTTTTTTTTAAAAAAAAAAACGCTTACGACTCAACGACGTCGTTCGCGTGTTTTTATTATTTCTCTTCTAAAACCTTTTTTCCTTTAATTTATTTTAACATTTCTCCGGAAGAAAGCGTCACTTTCCATCCGATCAATTGAAAGCTTTGGTACATCTGGAACTCCATAATACGCGTTTGTTTGTTTTATTCAGATGTGTTCTCCAATGTTCCATGCCCTTTTTGTTCTCCTTTCCTTCCTTCTTCTCGGGCTTCAATCCATCGATTCCGCTATTCTTCGATAATCGATTCCGGAATTCTGGTTTCGGCCAAAACCCACTGGTAAAGCTCCTGGCTTTTGGGTCGTTTTGATTCGTCGGAAAATCCAGATTTTGGGTAAAGCCCTTTGATCTCTGTCCGAAAATGGTGGTGGGTTTTGATTTTCCACGATAAATGTTACTGCTTTCTGGGATTTTGTTTGGGTGTTTTAGTAGGATGAACTGATAATCGTGAGCATATTCATTTGCTGGGGTATCACTTCTCCGCTGCGCATCTTCTGCTATTTAGCGCTGGTTTCGTGTGTGGTGTGTATCGTTATGGATCAAAATCTATTTGATAATCCCAGATAATGTCGAATGCAAGATTCATCAACGTGTTCAGATCATTTCTGCTTGTTTGAATGTCACGGTTGTGAAATTGCCCTGTAACTTGCGAGTCAGGAATAACATTCCATTGCTTCAGTCCGTCTGCGTTGTCGTCTTGAACCATCTTTTATCTTTTCATTTGGTGATCAGAAGTTTCGAATCTAAATTTTCTGAATTTGGGTTAAAATTTAGGAGATCTAATTACTAGGTGTTCTTTGCACTTGAAGCATATGAATAATCGGGTATTTATTTCTTTGGGGAGATTTTAGATTTTTCTTAGGTACCCGGGAGAGTGACATTGGTCGCTTGATCATAATGCTGAGGAGAGGGAGATTGTGAAATTCGCCTTGACCCATATTGCTAGAGGCTCTTCAGGTCAGTGGAATGAAAGGAAAAAGAATGGATGAAACCGAACCAGGACCAGTCCCTACGCATATGCCGGTGGATAGATTCGGGTTTCTGAAGCAGGAACATGGCAGTTTTCCAAAGACTAGATCGTCCGCTGAATATGAGAGGTATTTCCTTGGATAATGCCATTTTTGTAACCAACTGTACCCTGAGACTGATTAAATTCGGTATGTGTTTTGTCATTGGCCATCGATATTGAATGATAAGGGAGGAGAGAAGGGTGAGAAAATGGAGGAAGATGATTGGGGTTGGTGGTAGTGATTGGAAGCATTACGTCAGGAGAAAACCTCATGTCGTCAAAAGGCGTATACGGAAGGGAATACCCGATTGCTTAAGGGGTCTTGTTTGGCAGTTGATCTCCGGAAGTCGGGATCTTTTGCTTATGAATCCTGGTGTTTATGAGGTAATTCTGCAATAGCATGTTTTGATATGTACATTTCATGCCTTCATGGCTGAAAATTTGCTACATACATCAGTTTCTGGTCTTGCTGGCATATGATCAACTGTATGAACCGTTCCATCCGTATATTCCATGTAGTTTTGATCAGCACCGCCCTATCAATCTTACGTTTCTCCAAATTCACTGCAGAAAAGGATCCATCTCCACAAAATTATACAATTCATTCCCTTGGCCTGTTTGCTGATAAGTCTCTTAAATTTTGTTGCAGCAACTGGTGATTTACGAGACATCGGCATCTGAACTTGATATTATCCGGGACATCTCCCGTACATTCCCATCACATGTTTTCTTCCAGAAGAGGCATGGACCTGGACAGAGATCTCTTTACAACGTCCTAAAGGCGTACTCCGTATACGACAGAGATGTTGGATATGTTCAGGTCCCTCCCATCCCATGATTTCCTGTGTTGTTGTTTTTCCAACAATAAGGTACTTAAAAAACTCAGGATTCTACAAATGCAGGGAATGGGTTTCCTAGCCGGTCTTTTGCTTCTCTATATGAGCGAGGAAGATGCCTTCTGGTTATTAGTCGCATTACTCAAAGGAGCTGTACATGCCCCCATGGAAGGTTTGTATCAGGTGAGTCTTTTGTCATCATACTCTTACTTTCTGTGAAGAATGGTGGAAACTTAACGGCGTTTTTGTTCATCGAAAAAAAAAAAAGACATTCAGGAATTGACTAAAGGCAATCTAGAGAATAATTCTTTCCTTCATGAATTAGTGTATGACTGTTATTGTTCAGCCTCTTTGCTGTATTGGTTATGGTGTTTTTTTCTCCATTTGTTCTGATTCGATATCCAAAATAATAAGGAGCTCTTCCATTATCTCCTCGCATCCTTATCCCGATTCAAAATCTGCATTTTTTTCCTTATTGTTAAATTGGAGATTGTGAAAAAATGTTCCTTGAATCCTTCTCACTGAAACTATGGTGGTTTTGAGAATTGTTAGCTTGAGTTTAAGAGTTAGATTGAATATATGGGTCAGAAAAGATATATATAGCTAATTATCTATGAATCCATGCATGTCGTGTCGTGATGTAGGCTGGGCTCCCCCTTGTACAGCAATACCTGTTTCAGTTTGAACACTTGGTAAAAGAGCTGATGCCAAAGCTCGGAGAACATTTTACTCAAGAAATGATTAACCCTAGCATGTACGCGAGCCAGTGGTTCATCACTGTTTTCTCGTATTCCTTTCCTTTCCCTTTGGCTCTCCGGATATGGGATGTGTTTCTCTACGAGGTAGTAATATCCATTCCAAAATCTCTGTGTTATCATCAAAGTCTCTTCCCTTCTGTTTTTTTTGCTTTACAATTCTTTTTTTTTCTCGGGTTTGTTTCCTTCTTCTGTTCAGGGCGTCAAGATCGTCTTTAAGGTTGGATTAGCATTGCTGAAGTATTGCCACGACGACCTGGTGAGTTGTTTTACGAGTTTTTCGGCATTTATGGAACTGCTGAGATCAAATACATGATCTTGTTCTACAAGTTCATGAGGTTTGCTATTTGTCAAAAGGTGAAATTACCGTTTGAGAAGCTCATACAAGCTCTCCGGAATTCCCCAGAAGATGCAATGGATCCTGATACCTTGCTTCCATTGGCTTACTCCTTCAAGGTTCTCTCCCTGTCTCTCTTTATATCACGAAAACCACTTCCTCCAATCTTCAACGGGAATATATCCCCGATAGCATTAGATGATATAATCCTCATTGATGGATGGAGACCTTGATTTTATCGGATTCTTAACCCGAGGACATGAACAAAGAAACTAAAACATGCAGAGGATAAGATCTTGTTCATAGCCCATGTTGGAAAGAAGAACAGAGGATTAACGTGAGAATTACCAGTCCGGATCAAAAGAATTTTGGGTGAATCAATCTGCAAGACCCAGATTATAGGAAGTTTTCATGGTTTGCTTGGATCTGGATCTGACATCATGGGCATGCCATACAGGTTTCAAAGCGTTTGGAAGAGCTTAAGCATGAATACGACAAGAACAACGCCAAACCACAGTAAACTACTACATCTCTGATCCTGGGTTATGTTCCCATTTCTTACCTCCTCTTTTTTGTTTTTGCCTGTTCATTGAATCTATTTTTCATCATTTTCTTACAGAAAAGAATAATCATTGTTGCAAAGTTGGCGGGGGGAATTTCATTACAGAAGCTCCTCCCCTGGTTCTGATTCTCCCGCAAGTTGTAGAGACGAGAGATGCTAAATGTGTGTACATACAGTTGAGTAGATAAGACTGTCTTCAATATGAACAGAGCGCGAATCCACGTGTCGCGCTCTTATTCGTCCGTTTATAGCTTTTCTCTTCCCTCGAATCCCTTTAAAGGGTGTTGCCTGGTAGATAGATATGGTTGGACAAAGATAACTTTTTTTTTTTGGAATTCATTTGAATGTATTATATAAAAGCGTTTTTTATTAATAACAAAATGAATCTCGTTTTTTTTTTAAGAATAAAATGCTATTTAAATTAATCTCCCTTTTTACGCATTCCTTATTTTGAGACTACCAATTGTCTGGGATATATCAGAATCCCTGGAAATTAGCGGCTCGTAATAGCCGTTCTTATCGTGATTAGCCACCTCCCTGATGATGACACGTCACCATACTATTATTTTATCTAATTTATTTTTCCGGATTATAATTGCCAAATTATTAAAAGAAAAAAAGATAACAGAATCTTTTTCCTTTATATTTGTGGTCAGGAGGAGTCGTGTGGTTTCACGGTTCTCCGTGAAGAGAGAGAAAGGGGTAGTTTGGTAAAATCATTAGTCCAAAGATAAAATCAACGGTGGAGGAAGGTTCACGCCAATTCACGACTCCTTTGTTAAAGGAATTAAGGGTAGTTTTGTCATTTTACAAAAACCCTAAAAACGCCCACACGGCATCTGGTGGGCGCGTATATAAAGGGCCCTCCTGCCTTTCTCACTACCGTCACCAACGCAAACTCATTACTTCATCATTATCAAATCATAGGCGATACCCGAGATTAGGGTTTTCTCTCTCTCGTTGAATTCCGAGTTTTTGTTCTCGTGTTGCGGTTCTCTTAATCAAGGTTGGTTTCGTACCAATTCAGATCTGGTTTATTTGGGTCTCGTTAGTTATCTATTCGTTATGTTTTCTGACATTTATCGTATTTCGTCGATGGATTCGGCGTTTCTTCCGTTTCAGGTTTCGTTTGTGATTTGGTGGTCAGGGATTTCTGGTAGAAGATATTGATAATCCCGGGTCAAATTTCATCCATATATTCATGTAAGTCTACCTTCGAATCCTTTGTTGTTTGGTTCCGATCTTTAATAGAAAAAACTGTCATGTGATCGTATGTTATGATATAGATCGGAGTTTTTATTGGTTATGGTTTTATCCGTCGATTGATGATAAGTTTAGGGTTGATGGATGAACTTTCTGTTTTGATGGTTGTCATAGATCTGGTTTTTATAATCAGATGTCTTGGAAATATGGTTTTGTTGACCTAGTCGCTAGAATTCGATTTGGTCCATGCATGGTATTCTAGCAAAAAGTCCAGCAATTTAATTTAATTTACCAAATAGAAAAAGTTCTTCAATTGAATGCACGATCTGTACAGATGCCGGTACTACTTTAGAGCATAAACTCCTGATTCGTCTATTACGTACGTAATTTGTTGCACCATATGAGTCATGTGTTTGAGATTTGCACGATTTGCTTTGGAGCCACCTAGGTTTTGCTACTATTTCCTCTTTAAACTGTAGAATTTTGTCTCTGCCGTGTTTAATATGTGTATTACTATCATGGATACTGTGGATGCACAAGGCTGTGGATATATGTATTTATGCATGTTATTATCTCGTTTTCAGTAGTTAGGATACAATCTTAGGCTGCGTATGTATGTATGTATGCATGTATGTCTACTTTGTGAAATCTTTGTAAACTTGTTCTGGATGATGACCTTGCTGTTCTTGTTTGTTTACAGAAGAGCGTGAATGAGAATATGATGGAGTCGAAAGGTGGTAAAAAGAAGTCTAGCAGTAGTAAATCCTTATTCTACGAAGCTCCCCTCGGCTACAGCATTGAAGACGTTCGCCCTAACGGAGGAATCAAGAAATTCAGATCTGCTGCTTACTCAAACGTGAGTTTCTCTTAATAATTCTGTTCTTTTGGTTTTGCTTCATCTTCATGTCCACTGGAATCTGATTGGTAATCTTTTTATGTCTTCATTGGTTGCAGTGCGCTAAGAAACCATCCTGAGACGTCTTGACTGCTCCAACGTAGTCTTCGGTTAGCGAAGTTTTAAATAAATATAGTTTTCTTTTTGTCAAACTCGGTGTCTGCTGATTCCCCCAATCCCCTCGTTCTCTCCTCGAAGAAGTTTTTTCCTTTACAAAAGGCGAGATGGCCTTGCCTGTTTCTGCAATCGGATTTGAAGGCTACGAGAAGCGGCTCGAGATATCTTTCTTCGAGCCCAGCTTGTTTCTAGATCCCCAAGGAAAAGGACTTCGTGCTCTGGCCAAGTCCCAGTTGGATGAGATACTCCAACCTGCTGAATGCACGATCGTTTCATCTCTTTCAAACGATCAAGTTGACTCATACGTCCTCTCAGAGTCCAGCCTCTTTGTCTACCCTTACAAGGTCATCATCAAGACTTGCGGAACCACAAAGCTGCTTCTCTCCATTCCGCCGCTCCTCAAGCTGGCCGGTGAGCTCTCTCTGGCGGTGAAGTCTGTGAGGTACACTCGTGGAAGCTTCATATGCCCTGGCGGTCAGCCTTTCCCTCACCGCAGCTTCTCTGAAGAGGTTTCCGTTCTTGATGGGCATTTTGCTAAGCTGGGTTTGAGCAGCTCCGCTTACGTGATGGGTAATGCTGATGAATCAAAGAAATGGCACGTCTACTCTGCTTCTGCCAATGACGTGAGCCGATCCGCTGGTGGATACAAGAACGTTTACACACTGGAAATGTGCATGACCGGTCTGGACAGAAAGAAGGCATCAGTGTTCTTCAAGACCGAGTCAGGTTCGACCACATCAATGACTGAAGGATCTGGAATCAGGAAGATCCTGCCGAACTCGGCTATCTGCGATTTCGAGTTTGAGCCGTGCGGCTACTCCATGAACAGCGTAGAAGGAGATGCGGTCTCCACCATCCATGTGACGCCTGAAGATGGGTTCAGCTACGCCAGCTTCGAGTCAGTTGGGTACGATCTCAACGCTGCGGAACTGAAGGGTATGGTGAGAAGGGTGCTGGAATGCTTTGAGCCCAAGCAGTTCTCGGTGGCTATACACGCTGACATGGCGGAAGGAGTGCATGGAAAGGCGATAGATATGGATGATTACGTGTGCGTGGAAAGGACGATGGAGAAGCTGGGGGAAGAGAGAGGAGCGGTGGTGTATCAGGGGTTCGAGAGGGTGGCCGCGGCTTGTGGGTCGCCGAGATCGATCCTGAAATGTGGATGGAGCAGTGAGGACGAGAAGGACGAGGGAATCTAGCACTACATTCGAGTAATAAGTGTCTTTTGTTTTGAGTTTTATGTTCGTGTCTGAATAAAGAGCCTGTCGGACACCAGAGACTTGTGGTGGTGTTCGCAGGCGCGTCTGGTCTGGGGTGTTCAGTTCTTGTGGTGATGTATGTCTCCGGATTCTATGCCCTTTGGTTTTTAATGATATTATTTTTCTGTTGCTTATTAATATGTTTACGCATTCATTATTTTTTCGTACTCCAAATTTTTATATGATTAAAAAATTATTGTGCATTGTGGTAAATATTTATTAAAGTTAACTGAAAAAGCTAATAATGAAACCAATATAAACAATTGTATTATATTTGTATTGTATGTTTGGAGTGGTTGGACTATATTCTGATTAGTTGTAGATTAATTTTCTTTCTTTTTTTCATTTAAAAAAATGGCAGATTTTATTGCTAATTCATGCTTTATGTGCCGACTAACACTGTGTGGAACAATACATGAGCCCTCACAACAACGACGACAAAAAAACCAATGGACTGTTTTCTATTTACTGTTCATTTGCTAATTAAAACGCCACCGTTTTCGGATCAGAATTCTTATCAAACGTGTCATAGTCCACGGCAAAACTGACACGTGGGAGCTGGAAAGGGCCACTAATCACTAGAACTCCCACCACGTGGCAGCGTCTAATCACATCCTCCGCCTGTATAAACACAACACATCCCTCCGGGTTCTTCACATCCCAAATCGAATCTCGATTACTAATCTCGGAATTTATATCCATTAACAGACATATAATATAAATGGCAGACAACAGCCAACAGATGAGCTTCCAAGCTGGCCAGGCCACAGGCCAGACCCAGGTCTCTCTCTCTCTCTCTCTCTCTCTTAAATAATCAATTGATGTGTGTGTGTGTGTATATATATGGTTCAGGAGAAGGCGAGAGGTATGATGGACAGGGCAAAGGATGCTGCTCAGTCCGCTCGACAATCCATGCAACAGGTCCATCTCCATCCATGCCATGCCATGCATGCATGCATTTGTATATACATCAATTTATCTCATACATATATTAATTAAATGTGCATGGATGGAAAATGAGCAGGCGGGTCAGCAGATGAAGGAGAAGGCCCAAGGAGCTGCTGATGCCATGAAGGACAAAACCGGCATCAACAAGAACAACTAAATCATATATCCCTTTTTTTTTTTTTTGGATTTTAATTTCTTTTTATTAAATAAAATGGGATTCTATATTTTCTTTCTCCTCTTTGATATTTTATTTCTCTTCTTGTTTTAGATTTCCTTTTCTCTTTAATGCTTCATGTAATTCCATAAGAAACCGATTCTCCCATTACTTACCAGATTTTCTCTCATTTTAAAGCTTCACTATATACATCATTATTGAAACATCCAAAATCCAAAAACTATGGAGTATTAATTTATAATTAAACTATAGTAAAATTTATATCAAGGAAAACATGATCGGTAAAACAAAAAGAAAAAGAATCATGCGTAATCGATCGATCATATAGGTTACGAAACGAAATTATCTTAATTATTTATAAAAGATTTAAGCCACTATAGCCTCTCTTTTTTTTCTTCCAAATTTCAGAATTCTAAATAAAAAATCGATGATCTTACATTTTATTGTTCAATTTATCCATCATCGATATATAGTCATGTATTTTCCATAGCCCGTTGTGGGCACTTTGATAAAATAGAGAATCTAGGGGTTAAAAGCGAGAAACAAAAGAAATAGGAGAACAAAAATAAGTTTTATATATTGTGGTCCCAAGTATGTAAATTTATAAGTCTTCCTGATAGACCTTCCAGTCGAATCAGAAGCTCCCGAACCGCTAATCCACTCTAAAACCCTAACGTTGCCAAAGCTCCACCGCAGCTCTATCGATCTCGTTCCTTTGAAATTGAAAAGACCCAAGCTTTCGATTCAAGATCAAGCCAGTAAACTAAAGCCTTGCTCCAGTGACCAAATCGAAGCAGGAAT